TCTGCGCCATCAGCCGTGAATGAACAGCGGAATGGGAACCATCTAGAAACACAAGGTGCGGAGTCTGGAGATGAAGAGCTGCGGCCAGGGAAGTGTCCTGCCTGAGGCCACTGGGGCCCATTTTGCTGCAGCCTCCGGGAAGCCTTCCAGGTAAGCACCTCGTTACACTATCGCTAAGCGTGAATCAGGATAAGCCAACGAGTCGGGCGGGATAAATGTCGGAAGAGAGAGTCATCAGTGCAAGTGCCCAAGTCAAAAAGCGAACAGCCCTCGGCGGGGGCGGCAACCAAGAGGGCCGGCGTTCGGAGAGCGGCCAGAGCCCTGCGGCCCAGGGCAGCTTCGTGGCATCCGTCCGTCTCCAGCATGGACGTGCACGGGCTCCACTGCTGTGGGCCTGCGGCAAACGCCACAGGGGAATCCAGGAGGGAAGGGTGAAGTTCATCAACCTTGTGTTTTCTGTGACTATGGAAAGCTTCGGCCGCCTTTTGTACATCGTAACTTGTTGTTTTTCACGTATTTGCGTGAGTGCTCTCAGATTAACTGTCTCCCCTCACGACAGCTCCTCCCTCGCTGGGCTCCTAGGACAGTGGCCGCCAGGTGAACGCCGGGAGACGCGCGCATGTCAACACCGCGCCTTCCGAGAATCGAGGGAGGGCCAGGGCCGCAGTCCGTATCACTATCGCCAACATGCACGAAGGTGCATTTTTTACAAGTATTTATTCGGTGCCATTTTCCTGAATTAATCCTATACTCTTCAGGTCTAACGGAGAAAGCATTAAGCCAACTTCTTTCTTAACATTCCCGAATTCCAAAGAACGCTCCCCAGCTAGTACTGGCTGCGCCAACATGTGTCCTCGTGGTGCGCTGCAGGAGGGGCCCTGTCCACGCACGCGTGTCTGTGTGCGCTTTTACGCCAGGATTCACGACGGACTCACGTGTAATTAGTGACCCTCGGGGCAGTCACGCCGTTCTCCACAGACCCACACACATCACGAACATGGCACTCTTCAGGCAGCAAAGGTGATGCAGAAACAGATCTTTGGAAAAACGCACTCAGTGACGATTCTTTACCCCACGGAAGGATGCGAGAGAGTTTCCCGAGGGGCCGTGTCCCTCATACGTTTAAAATACTAACTTTTGTTGGTAAAAGCTCCACAGTCGCTTTAACGACACCACTTGCTTTGCAGAGTTCCGAACCTCGCCCCGCCACGCCGCAGACACTCCTGCAGAGACCGCGAGGTTCCCGACCAGAGTCCCCCTCCCCACGGCTGCTCCGCCTCCCATGTGTACCTGGAGCCGAGACTCCCCCTCTTCACGCGGCCAGCCCGGCCCTGCGCACCCCTTCCTGGGCTCGCCCTTCCCTCCGCACCTGGGCTGCCTGCGTGCCGGGGCAAGCAACATTGCGGGGTGGTTTTCCCTGCAGATGAGGCCTGTTTCTCCTTGGTTCCATTGAAAGAAAACCGGAATTTTTAGAAAGCACTTTCTAAGAAAATGAGGTAAAGCAAAACAACAAACAAAACCAAAGCACAGAAACAGAGAGGGCGGAGTGCGCAGAACTTGGGCCGAGCCCGGCTGCCCGGATCCCGGAAGGCGAAGGCTGAGCCTGGCGCCAACTCTTGACCGCGAGCCTCTCCTTCATGGGTGAACTCCTCTGTGGGCGAACGGCGTTGGGGGGGCCTGGGGACGGGCATCTCTAGTGCTCATCCGCGTCTGTCCTCCGGGACCCTCCTCACGGCGGGAAGACGGGGGCTGGGCCCGCCCAGGCACACGTGGGCAGACAGCGCTGCTTGCATTGGGCCCGGAGCCTGCACTCGGTCTCTGGGCCCGACCACTCGCTGCCCTGGGCGTGGGAGAGCGGGCGAGGGGCCCGAGGGAGCAGCGGGCTGTTGCCCTCCTGTGTGTTTCCGTCTCTCCCGCTGCAGGCTCTGGGTCCTTGGGACACGTGCTCCCTGACCGCGCTCTGGCTCTTCTTGTTCCGCTGCCGGGACGCTTGGACCAGGCAATTCAGTCCCTCCCTGCAGTTGCGGTCTCACCATGCTGCCTCCCGTCTCCCAGGAGACCCCTCCTTCCGCGCGAAGCCTCCCCGGCCGCCTGTCTCCTTCGCTGCTCCCCCAGAGGCATCTTCACTGCTGAGTTCTGAAATCACAGCTCTCTGCACCGACGGCAACGAAGCCCTGTGAGGGGCACAGGGGCCGCGGCCCTGCCAGCCCTCCCTGCCGGAGCCTGCGCCTCAGGGAAATATGCCGGCTGGGGTGTCCCGGGCTGAGCAGCCTCCAAATCGCTGTTCTCTGCTGAGGGGCTCCAGGTCTGCGCGCTGCCACAGGTCTCGGGCAGTCAGCGTGTTCACGGTGACCTGGCCGACCCCTCCCCACTCTGCGGGACAGTCCCTGCCGCCACCCTGGGGTTCAAATGTAATTAGCTTTCGCTGTTTCATGGCACCTTTCTGTTCAAATGTCACATTCCGCCCCGTCCTGCACGGAAGGCAGCTAAACATCGGGAACGTCAGTGCCTGGGGCTTACCGGGACTTGGCATGATCCATGTGACGGTCCTGACTCCTTGCCACGTGGCTCGGCGAGACGGTCGTGTTCGCTGTCTGATAAACACGGGCGTTTCTGCTCGGTGCGTCAGGTGACTGAGCACCACGGAATCACCTTCCTTGCAGCTCTAAGGAGCGGAAAGGTCGTTCACCCCGCGTGTTCCCGTGGCACCGACATGAGCAGGCCTTCTGCAGCCCGTGCTGGGGAGGGCAGGAGCACCCCCGCTGCACGCGACCCTGCCCTAACCCAGACGCGCTCGTGTGGCCTTGCCCGTGGGAACAGGCCTGGAGTTTCTGAGCCAATGGGATGAGTCATTTTACCTGCGTTTAGAGGGCGAGAATTTTGGCAAGAACGCGGACCGCGTGTACAGGCCTCTCGGCTCCTGCGCTGAGGAAGTGCTGAGATGAGACACCACGTGGCGGGGGTCCTGGAACCCTCCGCAAACTTAGGTCAAAAGAAAGAAACTCAGAACCGCTGAGAGGAGAAGACACGCGGAGGTCGGGGCACAAGCAGGTCTACCTGGCACACGGACCCCGCAATCCCCACGTCTCTGCACGTTCACCCAACGCCTGCCGGCAGCTGCCCACACGCCTGAGTCAGGGAAACTCTCCTGGCAGCATTCACGTTCCCAAAAGCATCGGCTACTGAGAAAGACCCAGCCCCCTCGAGTTGACCACGTGTGCGTGGCGTCCAGGGGGTGGCCGCACCCACACTTGGGGTCAGGCGTGATCCCAGGCCTCACACTGCAGCGGGGCACGGTGGGGAGCGTGCATCTGGAAGCACCCGTGGCAGACGCCGTGCAATCCAACGTCTCCTATCAGACCGAGCCGTTCTCGTGGTTTAGAGACTTCGATTGAAAGTGACCACTGAACTTGCTGCCATCACACACACGAATGGCAAAACTCAGCTCTGTATGAACAATCCAGTCTTCTCATGCACCGACAGGGCTTAAGACATCATCGACACCTAACTCAAGTGTCTTGAAATACGAAAATATCAGAATACAAGAGCTCGCTAAACAGACCTCCCTCTGCTAACTCGTCAGGTGAGCGCGTGCATCTGGTCCGCCGTGTTTGACCTGACACCGAATCTCATCACGAATCTGGACTTATGGTCTAGGTTCCTTTATAAAAAGGACAAATGTCAAAAGCTTCTCTGGAAAGTCGATCTGCAGTAAGAACCGCGATTCGAGTGGCGAAGTTCTGTCCAGTCGAGGACGGAGGGCAAGCAGGAGGAGCCCAGCGCGCTCCCTAAACGAGCGACATGCTGTCTGCGCCTGAGCGTGGGAACCTGGGCGTCTCCACCCGTCCACAGGGCTGGACGCGGGAGCGTGTCGCAGGCAGTCTGGGCTCGGGCCCGGCCCCGGCCTGGGAGGGAGGGAAGCAGAGGAGGGTCCCGTTTCCAGCGCAGACCAGGGATGCTGACCTGGGCTCTGTCTCCAGTTCTCTGGGAGGCGGCTGCCGCGTGCGTCCGTCTGCAGAGCGTCTGCCCGGAGCAGGGCTGGGATCGCACGTGTCCTGCACGACAGCCTGGCACGTCCCGGCTTGATCTCCGGGCTCTGCAACGAGGCTTTTTAGTGAAAATATTGGTTTTCCAGCTTCTTCGGGTCTAATCCCACCAGTCTAGATTGTGATTAGTTGGGTAGAAAACGTTTCCAAAAACACGCATGTTTGATGCCTCACAGGGTCCTCTCAAGACGTGAACCGCCGTGAGAATGCGGCCCCAGCCCCTGCGCGGCAGCTGCGCCCGCCAAGCAGCAGAAACAGGTCCCGCCTCTTACCCACGGGAGGCCTCATGTCCCACTTTGAGTTTCGGCTCCCACAGTCGCGGCATGGGAGACACCGTGGCGGGAAGGTCCAGGACCTTCTGCGTGGCAAACACCTCTCCAGAAAAACCCAGACATTAATGACGGGTCGAGAGGAGGGGCCTGGCCCCCCATCTGTGTCACCTGAGGGCACACTGTCTGTGGAAAGGCGCGTCACTGCAGAGAAGGCGGCTGCGGCCTCGTCACCGTGTGTCTGTGCTGGCACCGCCAGAAACGCCCCTGTGAGGACTGAACCCCGAGACCGCACACCTCAGCCCTGTAGCTACAGGCAGCAGGTGAGTGACATTTGTCCCCCAAACAATGCTCGGTGAGCTGGGAGCTGGGGTGGGGGAAGGGTTAGGAGTCCAGGGGCCAGACACAGCAGTGCACACAGTAGGCACTAACCGATGTGCGTTCTCACCACTGAAAACGAAAGAGCCGGGGCCCAGCCTCACGTGGGATGAGACGCGTGTGGGGCCCTGTGCTCCAGGCAGAGGGGGGAAAGGATCCGTGAGTGAACGCTCTTGCGCACCCAGATGAAGGGGTCACTGCCTGTCCTGCGGCCACCGGGCTCAGGAAACGCGGTAAGACCGGGGTGGCGGGAGTCGGGGAGGCGCCCGCGTCGGGGGAAGGCAGTGCCATGAGCCGCGGGCCTTACCAGGATCATGTGGCCGGTGGAGATGTCCATGTTGGGCTGGACGGGCTCCTCGGACCAGGACGAGGTGCTGCTCCGCGCGGAAGGGCTAGGCATGGGCCCGTCGCTGAACTGGGACGAGACGCTGTTGACACGAGACACGTGCGGGCCCTCGGGGCGGTCCGGCGGCCGCACGGCCATGCGCTGGCGGCACAGCTCCTGGAGGAGGCAGAGGCAGGAGTTAGCAGCATCGGGGAGGCCCGCGGGCTGGGCCCACAGTGCCCGTGTGGCGTCACCCGTCTCATCCTAAGACCCCTGGTTCAGATGCACGACGCCTTGAGTGGACGCACCCAGGCACGGTGCCCTGCAGGTGCTTCACCCTCACGCGGGAGAGGGGATGGCCTGGCCTGGCACACGGAGCAGAGCCAGTCCTCAGAGCATGAACACACACACGCACACGCAGACCACATACACAGACACGCACAGACACATCCCCCCACACACACATTCCTTCCACACATGGCGCAGGCACACACTCCCCCGCCCCCTGCACACATCACACACCCTACAGATTCAAGAAAGGGGCCAGTGGATCCCGCTGTGCTGTCAAAATGGAATATTCTAGAGTAATGCAGCAGGTGGACCTCTCAGCTGCGTTTTCCTTCTCATTAGACTAGCAGCCGCTTGAGGGGAGGGGACCTTACACTGTCAACCGAACAGAGAAACTGAACCACGACCTGGGTGCTGGGAGGAAAACCCTCCTGTTGTGTTTCTTTCTCTTCCCAGAACACGTCCCCGAGGCCCACGCAAAACAACGAGCAGAATCACACGTAGAGAGGACAGAACAGGGAGCCGGACTTTCCTGTCGAGTGGACCACCAAGGGCTAAAGTTTATGGATTTATTATTCGCTTTAGTTTTACAGATTCAGGCGGTACAAGTGCAGTTTCACTACGTGACCACGTTTCGTGGCAGTGCAGGCTGGGCGTGCAGAGCACCCGTCACCCCCACGGTGAGCGTCGTACCTGCCGCGTGGTTCCCCCTCCCCCGCCAGCCCCAGCGTCTCCCGCCCCACTCACACGTCCACGTGTGCACTGCTCGGCCCCCACCTGCGAGTGCAAACACGGTGTCTGGCCTTCTGGCATATTTCACTGAAGACAACGGCCCCCTCCACGTTGCTGCCAAGACCCGTACGAGGTGCCATCTCACACCAGTCAGAGGGGCTGTTACCAAAAAGTCGGGAACAGCGGGTGTTGGCGAGGATGCAGAGAGAAGGGAGCGCTTACGCACCGTGGGTGGGAATGTAAATTAGTGCAGCCTCCGTGCACAACGGTGGAGATTCCTCAGAGTGCTAAGAGCAGACCTGCCGTCTGATCCGGCGACCCCACTGCTGGGTGTCCATGCAAAGGGAAGGAAATCGGTTTACAGAGAAGACACCTGCACTTGCACGTCTATCGCAGCACAACTCACAACTGCAGAGATGTGAATCAACCCCCATGTCCGTCACCGTGTGAGGGGATGAAGAACACGTGGCGTGTGTGCCGCGCGGCGCTGCTCGGCCAGGAAAGGGCTCTGGATTGCAGGAAGATCCCAACACGACATGCTACTGACTCCAAGTGTGTTCGGCCGGATCGTCCACCTGTCTTCCGCAGGCGATGTTCAAAGGTACCATGCTGCCTGGCCGTGGTGCGACCCGCTGCAGCCCGGACCGCCACGTGGCTTCGGATATGCGGCTTAGGTCCTCGGGACTGGCCACCAACTTTCCCTTGCCAGGCTCACCCTGGATGGTCCCAGCACATGGGACTAAGGGAACACCTCCCTGGAAGAATTCCAGCAGTGATGAGTCAGTGAATTCCATCCTCTGCCCAGTGAAAACACAACCCTAACCCGAGTCATCAAAATACGACGATACCAAGAAAAAGTTTACAAGAGAATCTGAGCCCAACAGAAGAGTTAAAAACGCATCACAGCCAAAGCTTTGCCGCGCCTCGTGGTTCCTGCACTCCCCGTTCGCGAGGCCACACCACCCACCTGCCCAGCGGGGTTGCATCAGAGGCCCCTCCGCTCCACGCAGCAGCTGAAGATCATGAGACGTGTCCACGTTTTCACGCTCCCTGGCCCCCGGGCTACCCTTTTTCTTGGCTTTAAAGATCTTCCCAAAGCCACTGACACCACACGGAAGCCGCTTCCTCTCCACTCAGCTCTCGCGGACGCACAAGCCAGGTTCTGGGCTCTCTTCTCCAGGGTTTGCTGACAAGCGGGTTAGACGCGGTGCCCTGGGACGGGGCCCCTGGCTGGAGCCCTCCGTCACCCTCAGCCCCTGAAGGGAAGTGGTGACGGAGGATTATCGTGGCACCGGGAGGGGGCAAAGAGGAAAAGGTGGACGTGGGGGCCGCCGTGGCGATAAGAGGCGTGTGACGCGGGGAGAACCACACCTGCAGTTCTACTTCCTTCTGCCCACGTACTCCAAAAACACACTGGCTTACAGATCGTTTTTAAACAATGAGTTGGTTTTAAAAAAAACACCCAAGTTTTCTCAGAATCTCAAAACCAAAGCAAAACAAACAGGAAGCAGCGCATGCATCAGGGATCATTTTAACAAGGTGGATGGCGCCAGCCCCAGCGCACGGCCCATTTACTTCCCGCTGCACACATGGAACGTTGCCTGATCTGGGGCAAAAGCAAACCAAGAAACGTCTCTGCGGTAACTTCTGTGGCTTAACGCAGTTTCTCCAGAAAAACGGTGAGTCCTGACCAAAGTATGAGACCTGTGGGAACCCAGACTTGTGCTCCAGGCATGAGATGCTCGGGGAAAGAACTGAAATGTTTGGGATTTATTCACTAAAAAATGAAAAATCAGCACAGCCACATGACTATCCTGTGAGTAAGAACACAGAGGAATTACAACAAAACCTGGATTTCTCCTCTCCCCACCCCCACGGAGAGCGCACCAATCGAGGCTCAGTCCTAGACCAAGGTCCCCGCTTGACCACAAACTTCTATTTTTTTTTTCAATTTAATTTTTTTCCACCTGGACCCCATGGCAAAGGACCCCGAACTTTATGTGAACTTGGGCAAATCATTCAAGGTCTCTAAGGCTGATTTTTTCACGTCAGAACAGACGTAACAGAGCATCGCTGCGCAGGTCAGAAGGGCTGCTGTCCGTGAGGCGCTTCACGCGGTGCTCGCTGCAGGGGAAGCCCCGAAACGTGAGTCAGCAACGGCGCAGAAGCATCGCTGCCACAGGGATCGGAGCAGTTCTGAATCCCGAGGGATTCCCGAGTCAAGATGTTTCTGAAGAAACCACAGAACCCTAGCGCTGCACTTGCGACCGAGCGTCCGCTCAGACCTCCAAGACCGTGGAAGACCCCAGCTGGCCAGAGGGCGGCCAGGACAGCACGTCCGGGGTCGGCTCCGGCCAGCCCTGCAGCTCTCGCCCCCGCGTCCTGTTGCCACTGGTGGTGCCAAGACTCCTTGCAGGTCCTCATGTTTCCAAAAAGGAGGAGGCTGAGATAAACATCCAAAGTAACTCAGTCCCTGCTCTGCCCAGCAGACAGGAAGGCCCGGTGCCTGCGGTCTCCCCCGTGCAGAGGAGAAAACGCTGCCACAGGAGACGTGTGTCCCCACCGCCCAGGCCACCGGCTCTGTGGACTGAGGACTCGCCCACCGGGGCAGGCCCTCTGGCTGCGCTGGGCACTCGGTTCTAAGTGACGGCCACCAAGTTTCCGCACAGCAAACGACGCGGACAAGCACTGAGTGGGGGGACGAGGCCAGACTTTCCCTGTAGGTGGGGTTAGGGTGGTGCGGGGGCAGGGCCTGGGTCCATGGGTCCCTGGGACCGAGGCCCCCGCATGCCCCACTGAACCTGGACAAACCAGAGGTGCGTCGCATCCCCACGCAGGGGCACCCCAAGGCACGCCGGCTGCGCGGTAGCTGCGCCCCCCTGGAGCTACACGTTCCGGTGTGTAAAGGCTCTTGGGGGAGCCAGCCACACGGGAGAGTCCGAACCTCCACAAACTACCGGATCCACGGAGCGCCAGGCTAGCCACGGCGCCAGGACAGACCCCCCAGAACCTGGGACCCCGGAAACGCTTCTTCAGAGGAGCTTAGGTAGGATGAGGACAGGACGCAGACGTCACCTGGGTTCTTTTCCGTGACTTCCAGACACCCACTCACAGGTCCCCAGCGCTGGGGTCAGAGCGCCTGGTTTCCAGTCTGGGCTTCGGCCCCACTGAGTGCGTGACTTGGGCGAAGTGCTCAGTCTCCCGTGCCTCAGTTTCCTCATCTGAAGGACGGTGCTAACAGGACCCGTTTCATGACTGCCGGGAAGATTAAATTAGATACTACGCTTGGAACGAGCCTTCAGAACTGCACCTGCCACGTGCCGGGTGACTGTCAGCTGTGATCACTGTTATTATTATCATCTATTCGGCCTCTGGTCACCTCTCGCTTCCTGTGTCAGCACCTGCCGCGTGCCAGGCAAGACCCACAGGGCCCTGGCTTCCCAGCGCTCACAGGGCACCGGAGCTGGGCCTGGGGATGGCAGCAGTGATGGTGACAGTGTGTGTTGGGATTTCAGGGCCGTGTTGCCAGGGGCCACAGGAGGGGACCCTCCCTGGACTCATGGTCAGGGGAGCTTTGCGGAGGAGGGCGCCGGGCACCAGCCCAAGGCTGGTGGCTGCTCCCTGGAGGGAGCGGCGCGTGCGACGGTGGGTGGTGGGTGGGTGGGCGGTGGGAGCAGCGTGGCCTGGAGGTGCTGAGGACCCCCAGGGGGAGCGACAGCTGGGAGGGGCCCTCGCCACGTCATCCTGGCCTGCGTCGCGGCAATAATCCCGCCGTACGTCTTCATTCCAACTGCCTCAGTGATGGGCGCGTTAGTGGAAGTGTCCTTCTCGGGAATACGACGTACCAGGTCACCTGTCTAGTTGGAAATACTTTCAGTGACGTGGTTTCTTGTCACGTGGGGAAAACGTTGCCATCCACAGCCCGCCTGCCCCGACTGCGGCCACAGAGCGTTTGTTCACTTACAAGGTGACGTCTCGCTGCAACCCGGCTGCTGCACGTCAGTGTGGTTTGGTGCCTGACACTTTCATGGGGCCAACTGAGGAGTCCAACGCTCCAAACCGCATCTCACGACGTCGCGAAGCATCTGCTTAGCCATGTCCCGCCTGGCTGGAAAGCCGCCTTCTGAAGTCCACGCCCTACCCTGGACCACAACCAC